AAATAAATAAATAAATATAGAAATAGAACTAAAAAAGGTTTATTCTTTATGATAATCATATGGTTATCTTCAATATTTGCATATAATAAGAAGTAAAAATATTCCTAATAATTTTTAATAACTAAATAATATAATATTTAGAGCCTTACGAATGCAGATGTGATTTCATTTGGAATATTATACTAAATGTCAGTTTTTTAAATTTATTTATAAAAAAATATCAATTTGACTGTAAGATTTAAGTTATTGCCAATTAAGGTATATTTTTACTTATGTGCCCTTTTTTTAATTTATAAGGCATTAATTTGTTAGTATTTTAGTGTTATAATTTCTCAGTATTTCCTTTTGTATTAATTTTTTATTTTCATCATTGTTTCTTTTTTTTTTTTTAGTTTGTTTTCTTTTTTTTTTGTTGCGGATTTTTTAGTTTTTTTTTTTAGTTTGTTTTCTTTTTTTTTTGTTGCGGATTTTTTAGCAGACATTCTTCACTCCTTTTGTGTTCCATGCCGACATTCTTCACGCTGATATTTTCACAAGTGATTAATTATTATTCTTCCTCTTCCTCTTCTTCTTCGTCGTCTTCTTCTTCTTCTTTCAATTGTAGACCTAAATTTTGACTCCAGCGATGAGACTGACATGAGAAACATCATCAATGCATGCTCGGAGTAAGAGTCCTCACTGAAAAATAGATTTTTGTTCTACAATTTTATTTTAATTTTCGTTTCTATTCTTCAATGGAAAATCAATTCCTAATCTACGATTTCATCTCCATAAATGTTGTTTTTGTTTTAAAGAGACAAGGTAGGATTCTCGCTTGTGTTTCAATTAATACTGATACAATATAAAAACAAACGCTTTGAAAAATACCAAGCATTGTAATATTGAGCTAACAGCTAGCAAACATATTTTATCTCTTATCCTTGTAACTATTTGAAGTTGTAGTTATCTTGTATAGCTGTAGTTGTTATGTTGTTATAGGGAACTGCTGTATTTATTGGCTTGTGAATTAATAGAAAAGCATTCCCACTCATACCGTTTTATGGTATCAGAGCCTAAAAACCTACTGTTTTTTTTTTCGGTCCTTTTCTCAATTTATTCGTTTGCCTAAAATCTATTGTTCTTCCAATGGCTTTTGCCTCAAACATCTCCAACCTTACACATATGTCTGGTAAGGCTTTGATTTCAATTAATGGTTCTCAGTTTCCTCTGAAACTGACTCGACATAATTTTTCGACTTGGAGATCTCAGATTGTTCCTGTCCTACGTGGACATAATCTCCTAGGGTATGTTGATGGATCATACCCCTGTCCTCCACCAGTTTTGAGGAAGGATGATAAAGAAATTCCAAACCCTGACTATGATCACTGGGTTTGTCAGGATCAGCTAGTGTTGGCAGCATTGATTGCTTCCACGAGTGTGTCCTCTATGCATATTGTTTCCACTGCTCTAACTTCAGCAGAGGCGTGGACGAAGATACAAACTGCATGTGCAAATCGATCTGCAACACGTCTTCTGTCTCTTCGAGAAAAACTTGCTAATATCAAACGAGACTCTAAACTAGTTTCAGAGTACTTACAGTCTATTAAAGCAGTTTTAGAAGATCTAGCCTTGTCTGGAAGTCCCATCTCTGACGTTGATCTTGTAATTCATACGTTAAATGGAATTGGCCCTGAATTTCGCGATATTGCTGCTGCAATTCGCGCAAGTGATACTGTTATTTCTTTTGAGGAGCTTCAGGATCGACTTCTCGCTTATGAGGTATATGTTATAAAAATTGATTCGACTTATGATCCAGCACTTGTTGTAGCCAACAATGTTTGAAAGAACTCTTATTCTTCTCAGCCGCAATCATCATCTGGCTCTCGTGAAGATACTGGGTATTCAGGAAACTCAAGCTCTCGGTCTCAGCCAATGCGCAGAAATAATGGAGGGTCTAAAGTTCAATGTTAGATTTGTGATAAGCCGGGTCACAATGCCAAGCAGTGTTACGGTGCCAAGGCCTTCTTCAAGAATAATTTTCCTAGACCACCACCGCGAGCTAATCATGTAGCAGCTTCTGATTCTTCAAGCTGGGTGTTGGACACTGGAGCTACAAATCATGTTACTAATGATTTACAGAATTTATCTTTGCATGCTCCATATGACGGTTTAGATGAGCTTCACCTTACTGATGGTTCAGGTTTGCGCATAACTCATGTTGGCTCTCGGGTTCTTTCCTTTCCTTCAAAAAGTTGTTCTTTACAGAATGTTTATTTATCTTTGCATGCTCCATATGACGGTTTTCAGAATGAAGCTTCACCCCTTACTGATTGGTTTCAGGTTTGCGCTAACTCAAGCGCCTTCCTTCAAAAAGTTAAAAAGTTGTTCTTTACAGAATGTTTATTGCGTTCCTAGGTCTAAGGAAAACCTTATATCTGTTTCTGAATTCTGTTTATCTAACAATGTCTCTATTGAGTTTTTCTTTGATTGTTTTATTGATTGTCAAGGATCTCAACACGGGGGAGATCATCACAAGGGGGCAAATTAAGAATTCCTTGTATCGTTTGTCTTCGTTATCAAGTGATCGTTCGTCTTCAATTGCTGCCAATGTTTGTGTTCGTGATTCGCCGTTGCTCTGGCATCAGCAATTAGGCCATCCTGCTGCTAAAGTGTGTCGTCAAATTCTGTCTTCATTTCATTTGTCTAAATTTTCTGCTGTTTCTATTGATTGCAATTCATGTCGGTGTAATAAGAGTCATAGACTCGCATTTAGAACTTCTACTCTTTCTAGTTCTCGTTCTTTGGAACTATTATATTCGGATTTGTGGGGACCTGCCCCAGTTGAATCTATTGATGGTTTCAAGTACTATTTGATAATTGTTGATCATTATACTAAGTATGTTTGGTTCTATCCTACTCGTACTAAATCTGATGTTGCTCTGATTTTTCCAGCGTTTCAGAAATTAGTTGAAGTTTGAAAATATTTTCAAACCAAAATAGGTTCGTTTCAGAAATTAGTTGAAAATATGTTTCAAACCAAAATAGGTTCTGTGTATACTGATGGTGGTGGTGAGTTCCTTGCTCTCAAAACAATTTTCCGAGACAATGGAATTCAACACTTACAAACACCTCCTCATACGCCACAACACAATGGTGCCGCAGAGCGTCGTCATCGTCATTTGGTAGAAACAGGTCTAACTCTTCTTCAATCTGCTTCTCTACCTTATAAATTTTGGTCGTATGAGTTTTTAGCAGCAACGTATTTGATTAATCGGTTGCCTACACCTATTTTACAAATGACCTCTCCTTTTTCTAAACTTTTTAATAAAGATCCAAATTATACTAAGTTAAAAGTATTTGGATGCCTCTGCTATCCCTTTCTTAAGCCGTATAATAAAAATAAATTCGAACAAAAGTCAAGGCCTTGTATTTTTATAGGATACTCATTAAACCAGAGTGCTTATTTATGTATGGAACCCACCACAAGTCGAGTTTATGTATCTCGGCATGTTTATTTTGTTGAGAATAAGTTTCTTAGGCAACATTGTTTTCGTGATCTTTGTGAAGTTACTGGTGCTTGGTATAATATTAATTATGGGCCTTTATCTAAAACGGTACCATTTTTGTCAAATAATAAACATCATTCTCCATCTGATATTAGGTCATTGTCGGGTATGGGTATTCAAGATTCTCGGGATCCTAGTTCTACTCTACCGATTGCAGCATCTGTTCCTCTAACTGGTTCCACGTCTACTTCATCGTTAAATTCCAATTCATCTGTTCCTAGTTTCGCTTCTTCTCAAATGGTTTCTGCAGGTACAAATTCCAGTTCTGCGTCGTCCATGGAAGGGTCTTCTATTCCGTCTTCTGTATCGTCTTCTATGTCTAGTGAGTCTCTAAATTCTTCTGTTGCGTCTTTGGTTGAGTCTGAGTCTTCTGCTTCGTCTTCTGCAGTTCCTGTTTGCACTCACCCTATGGTTACACGATCTCAAAATAATATCTTTAAGCCAAAAATTGTTCATACAGTTAGTAAGCATCCTTTACCCGAATCTGTAGAGCCAACTAGAGTTTCACAAGCGCTACAAAAACCAGAGTGGCGTGAAGCTATGTCTGTTGAGTTCAATGCCTTAATGGCTAATGGCACTTCGGTTCTTGTTCCACCAAATTCTAATTATAATGGTTCCACTTCCACCAAATTCTAATTATAATCTGGTTGGTTGTAAGTGGATTTTCAGGGTCAAGCGAAATGTGGATGGCTCTGTGGCTAAGTATAAAGCGCGCTTAGTCGCTAAGGGGTACAATCAACGTCCTGGTGTCGACTTTGAGGAAACCTTTAGCCCGTTTCTGAAACCAGCAACAATTCGGATTATACTCACCCTTGCAGTGACTAATAAATGGGAAATTTGTCAATTAGATGTGAATAATGCGTTTTTACATGGTCCTTTGCAGGAGAAAGTTTATATGCAGCAACCTCCTGGTTTTATAAGTCCAGACAAGCCGAATTATGTTTGCAAATTGGTTAAGGCCCTGTATGGTCTTCGTCAAGCGCCGAGAGCGTGGTATCAAGCACTTCGTGCTTGTGCGGTTGAGTTTGGTTTTCAGCAGTCCAGAAGTTATCATTCTTTGTTTATTCTTAAAAAGGATCAGTTTGTGTGTTATTTCCTTGTTTATGTTGATGATCTGTTATTGACAGGGAATTCTACCTCTATTATTCGGCAATTTATTGGTGTGACAGGGAATTCTACCTCTATTATTCGGCAATTTATTGGTGTCCTCAGAAATAAATTTTCTCTTAAGGATCCACAAGAGTTAAACTTATTTCTTGGGATTGATATCCAGAAAACAGCTGCTGGTTTGTTTTTAACGCAACATCACTATATCCGGAAGTTGCTACTTGCTGCGAATATGGAAGGTGCCAAGCATTTTTTTCCTATAAAATGGCTAGGACAGAATGAAAAAAAAAAAAGATTATTTAAAATTGATCCATGTAAGCTCTAAATTTCAAAAAAGATAATAAATAATGAGGTGAATTAAATAGATAAGTAATTATTTAAATACTTTTAAATTACAATCGCAATAATTCATCTAATATTCATTCGATGACATTACTAATACAAGCTTTCATAGATATTGAAGGAAATTTTTATTTCATTATAATTTAAATCATTCCATGATTTATTTGGAGATGAAGTAAAACTACGTAACATTAGCCAATAGTAGGAACTAGAATGACCACACCACATTCATCGACCCAAACCCGGACTCTGTCCCACCTAAGATCCTTCGTCACTGGAGTTCCTTCCTTCAACACGATAGCGTGCAGATCTTTGTTCTCTTTCTCTATGAGAGCTGCAGCAGCTTTCCCATTCTCCCCGAGCAGCTCCGGCCATGAGGTCTTACCTGCAAATTTTCAATTTTCTTGTAACTTTCATGTTGTAAACTTTCAGTGTCAAATTACAAAAAAAATCGAAGTTAAAAAACAAATTAAACTCAGTAAACTAATAAATTACCAGGTGAACACATATTAGCCATTATCTTTGCTGTACTTGTTTATCTTCCTCTCTCCTTTTTCCACTGAATTTGATGAGTAATACAGGATAATGGTTGAATTATATTAGAAAGCTTTTCCAAATTTTTAAAAGCAGAATTTTTTGCATTTTTAGAATAGGAAAAGGGATCAAAAAAAAAAAAAAAGAAAAGACAATGTTTTAAAACGTGGGCTGCCAATCGAATCTGCCGAATAAATATCCATTACTATCTATAACCCATTCTATCTATACTAAGTGATAGATATATACTTAGAAAAAAAATATACATATATGAAAATTTTTCTTAAGGAGAAGTGAAACGAAAAGGACTTTTTTTTTTCTTTTATAATTTTTGTGCTAATTTTTTTTTTTTTTGGATTTATACCACCTGTATTCTCAAGCCCATCGGACTTCGACTACATCTGGCTTGAGTATTACAGGGCTCACATAGGAAGCGACTCTCATAGCGTGCCAATTTCTATACCCAAGACTCAAACTCGATATCTTAGGATAAGGGAGATGGAGTCTCAACCAGTTCATCCCAATCAATTTTATTTGTGCTAAATTTTTTTAACAAAGTTATGCCAAAGAAAATAATTTTAACGATAAGGTCTATTAACGATAAGGTCTACAAAATATTTAAATAGTTTAGTATTTATATTTAAAATTATAAATTAAATTAACTCAAATAATTCATAATTAGCACACATATACGTATGATAATTTTTACAGATTGGATCGAATATGTAGATTTACCTAGTGAACCTGTTACTCAATCCAATCCGTGAATTATAAAAATGATCCACCTAGCCCAACTCATTATATTTTTAAACTCACAGAATTATGTTCGATTGGGTCGATTTATAACGGGATGTGCAGTCCTAGCAAAGAAATTAGAAAAAAAAAATACAAATTGGGAACCTCCAGCAACTCACAAAATGGACTATTCTTAAACCCCCTTGAATCTCTCATCTATGCTATACATGGAGAGCATGTATTGAATCTTTGGAGGCCGAATACATAAATTGCCCTCTGAACTTGTGCAAAAAGTCTTCTGACTCCCTCAATCTTTAAAATGACCTTGTGGCCCATTAAGTTTTACTTTTTTTAACAATTGAGCACTTTTTTTTATTGTTTATGTTCTTATTATTGTTTTCTCTTTTTGGATTAGTTTTTTTCTCTTAAAAAGAATACTATTACGAGAGACTGCCTAATATATGTAAAGGAGAAACATTGAGGTTTTGCAATACGTTGATGTGGCACTTTCTTAGAAAAGTGGAACTCTCTAACATTTTAGCATTTCCATTTATCTTGCTTGAGAAATTTTTCAATATTTTTTCTTTTTTTTAATTACTTTTTTCTCCCTCTCATTTATTATTTCTTTTTTTAATTACTTTTTTCTACCCTCTCATTTATTATTTAATTATGAATTTCCACGTTCAATCTTATGAGTTTTTTAAATTAAATTATGGCATGAAAAATTTAACTATTTTGAGTATATTTTTATAAGTTTTAAAATGAAGAACAAAAAGTTGGATTATGTGAAATCAGAACTAAAGAATAAATTAATAGCTTGAATGTGGAACTAAATGGAGATAAAAAAAGATCTAAATTGATTTTATAATTCTTAATCTTTACTGACCTATGACTTAGGACTTACTTCTATTTTTGATCGGTCTATGGCAAAAATTTTTTATTCTTATATATATATATATAGTATATATATTATATATATTAGTATATTATATATATATATTATATATATTAATTAAAGTTCTTTAATTTTAGCGGTATTGAAGATAAGAGGTTCGTTTTGGCATTAAGAAACTGTACCAAGTATCTATATGATTCGAAGAACTATTTAGCGTTATAAATCATGATTCGAAGGATAAAAAAAGCTTACATTTTAAATGTAATAAGGGAAGCTTGCAAGTTATAATTACAAATGAACAGCATCTGTAAATTGCGTAAGAGTGCATGTAATTTCTGGCAAAAAACTTTTTCAATGTTCGTTTAAAATTTAATCAACAGAAAACATGGTTTAGACAATTCTTAAATAACAAATGGTATATTACTATTACCGCATTCCAACGCCCCCAAAGTGGCAGGAGAGTACCCAGAACGGTAAGCAAATTAGTTAAAAACTTCGTTCATTGTTTTCTTTATTTAATTATTTAAATTGAAGCCATGTCAGTAAAATTTTTTTATTTTATTACGTAAAAAAAGAACCTCTTGTTTTTCTTCCTTTTGAGCCAATAATATTAAATTGGATCGGAAAAATTTTAAATATTCTTCTTTCCTTTTTTTTTTTTTT